AGCCAATTTAGACACTGCCAAAATTAAATTTCATACCAAAAAGTACACAGCCAGTTTCCAAAAGAAACACACAGTTTCCAACCAACGAACATGTTCTAATACTACAGCAAACCATTTTCAAAGAACATGAAAATATAAAGTGAAGCCAAATAAAGAAATGTAACAAAAATGGTAACATCATAAATGAAATGAGTCAAATTTGAAACACTGGTAACATCATAAATGAAATGAGTCAAATTTCAAATAAGCACAAACAAATGTGTGCACAAAGACATGCAGATGTATGCATTTACACTGTAAATCTTAACTCTCACTTGTGAATCCAAAAATTATGAGTAATTTGATAATGAAGTCATCTGGCAACAAATAAATACAGCATATATTTTAACTGTGAAAAATACAGTTTTGATACTGGATGTTATCTGTGTAGTGCCCCAATTGCTGTAACATATTTGTGTTGCATATACATAAAAGTCTTGCTGTTATATTAAACAATAGCCAACTTCCTCACTTACAAGTCTGCTAGGCTCTTTTTTCTGAACCATCCTTCCATGTGGACTTCTATGTGAACATCAAGTGCATGCAGCAGGGCAGGTGATCAAAAAGCACGTGCTGTCTATCCACTCACTTTGTTTGCAGCACTTGTTGCTTATTATGAAGAGCAACATTTGAAAGACAGCAGGTGAGAGGTACCTTCTTGGAATAAAACTGACTCTCCCAAAGTTAAGTGAAAAAGAGTATTGCAGAAAACACAAACTATGTATTACAGATTCATAAATGTTTTACACATATTTGTATGGGATTAATCGCAGCAGTACAGGAACATCTTAATGAAGCCCAACTATCTCTCTGTGGGGTAGGGACGTATTATTATTCCTATCTTCTAAATGGGGAAACTGAGGCATAGAGCCATACCATGATTCACCCTGGTCACACACAAGAGCCAAGATAGAGCTCCTAGCTCCTAGATTTCTGCCCTGACATAAAACCATTGCTCCTGAGATTAACCTTAAAGAAACAGTGGCTCCGAAAAGAACATTACTAATGCAATAATAGTGCAGCAGTATAAAACATAAGCTTGAGAGATAAGAAACAAACTTTTGCCATCAGGGGAATGCAAGTTATGGGGACAAATAAGTGTATGTTCCCCAAGTGGACAAGCTCTGTCTTCAGTTAGATGAAAACGTTGTCACATTTCCTCTGTAAAACAGTTTTCAAAAACAAAAGCTACTGCCGCAAAAGAGGCACAGTTTCCTATTTTTTCATGTGCAGAGTTGTGTGAAAGATTAAACAGAAGCTTTGGAAATATATTCTTAAGGAATGCTGCCCCTGTGAACCTATAAGGCTCAGATGCTACTTACAGAACATTTTTATTTACAAAAGATGGCCTTCCTCCAAGATCCAGACACAAGGACAAATTCTAGCTCATTTTCATGGGCTTTACACATGGCTCTTTAGAATTAAAAAAGAGATGTTCAGATATCTGAAAATCTCATGGTTTTCTTCAGGTAGACATTATTATTCCTTCTTCTATTAAGTTTTTTTAGACATCGTTTGTTCTCATTGGAGGGAAAGGGACAGCTCTTGATTCTGGTAGAAATTCAGTGAGCCACTTCTGAACAAATGATTATGTCAAACATAATCATTGTCATTATGGAAGTTAAACAGGGAGCCAGTGAGCAAGGACTCCTAGTTCAGAAATCCAGTGAGCAGAAACCATTCATAGAATCATAGAGAATTAGGGATAGAAGGGATCTCCAGAGGTCATCTAGTCCAACCCCCTTCCTGAGGGAGGATCGTCCCTATGCAAACCATTCTACAAAAATCCATAATCTAACCTCTTAGTAAAACTACAGTCAGCCCTGACACAACACAAGGCATAACATCCTAACCTGCCACAGGTAAAACAGTGGGACCATGGCAGCCAATGTCTTTTGTCTATACAAGGTTGTTAATACACGCTCAAGAGATCTCAGGTAGAGGGCCAAAAACCCTGCACAGTCCATACCAATCTGACCATGGGGTAAAATTACCATCAGTAAAAGCAGTAAACAGATTAAAAAACAAACAGGATTTCCATCTAGCTCTCATTTTCCAGGCAAGGACCATCTGCTCCATGGAAGATTTAAAATTAGGTTTCAATGCCCCTTAAATTGTGTTCTTCTCTGACATTTGAGCTCATCCATTATCACCTTCCACCTTATGCCGTCATTTTCACCAATTCAAAGTGGCTATGAGTTATTTCTGTTTTAATCTGAAAGCATTTAATACACCCAAGCTGCATGCCTATATGTATGTGCATGCACATACACAGATGGTCACACATTTTGCACTGATGTAAGTGGCTACACAAGGTGAGCAGCAACAATGAATTGAACCTTTCGTGCCTAATAATTGGACTGGTGCAAATTGAGGGATGTAAATATGGATTTGATAACTGAACTGCATGGTAAAATGCAATGCTGCCACTCAGAAAACAGCCTGAAGCAGAAAAATTAAAAATAATGGGCCCCAGAGAGTGGTGAGATCAGTTGCTAAAGAATCCAAGCAGCACTATTAATACCACTTCTGTCCCATTTGCTGTAATATATGAAGATCAGTAAATACACTTCTTAATCTACGCAAAATTAGAAATAACCTGATATTTAAAGAACTTTCAAAGGACCTGTAAATTCTACGATTTACCTGGAAAAAATGAACCAAAACAAACACCAACAAAACCCAGCTCCTTTGAAACAGAATTGCTAACTAGGTTACTGAACACATGAACTGTTGTTCTAAAGATTCCTGTACCAGTTTAGGATGTGACTGAATGAAAGCAAAATTCATAAAACTTTACCTATTTGGCAACCATCAGCTCTCCTAGCGCTTCCTGTCAATGTGTTTCACTGTTAGTATCTGGACCTGCTTATAGTGAACAGCAATACATTCATAATACTTGGCAGTTCTGTAACACCTTTCACTGGCAGATTGCAAAGCACTTTATTAGGATGGGTAAATTCCATGATTTCACCTATGAGAAAACTCAGGCACAGAGAGGGTGAAGGAAATAATTTTCAAAAGCAAGGGGCTCAAAATGGGGGTTAAGAAAATTGCTAAACTCTGTTCTGCTAGTGGTATTAAGTGCTCAGCAGCTTGATTACTCCAAGGAGACACACAGATAGGGCGAGTTAAGAGCCTGGGCTATAGACACATTCAAATTATCTGGAAGAATTCTCCCAAGTTTGTTCTTCTGGTAGAGAAACTTATCCAGAGTCACATGTACAAACATTCAAGTGCGGAGTCCCTGAAGAATGGAGAGCTGGCAATGGTAAGTAACCCTATGTAGCTGGGGGGAGGGGAGGGCCCTGACCACACATCTCATTCTGCTCTGCAGGCTCCCTTAGTCTGCCCAGGGACAGATGACAGCAGTGCATAGGGCAGCCCTGACTGGCTGACCAAGACTGCCCATGGTCAGCCTGCGTTTCCCTGCAGCACAATGTGGGGATTGTTAAGAGGATGTTCTACTTCCTGCTGGAGCAGCAGAGTCCAGTGAGTGACGTGTTGGGGCAAGGGGAGAATGCTGGAGGACCATGTTCTCTTCTGAGAAAAGACATGGCACATACAGAATTTGCTTTCTCAGGAGAAACTCTCCAGGGAGTGATTAACCCTGGTTGTTTCTAGGTTGTTTTTTTTTCCTGCAGTGACCATTTTTACCCTGGGTGGAAAAGGCCTGAACATCTGTGAATCTCCCAGCAGAAACTGAATGTCTGTACGAGGGCCTGGTTTGCTAAACTGATGTTCAACAGTATTCTCAAAACCATAATGATGTTTTCAAGGACTGTTCTAGTACTCTAAACAAAATAGCAGCTCCAAAGTCATGACTATGCCAAGAGGCATAATTTACAGTGATGAGAGATGGGGGAGTAGAATTAGGAAAAGGTACACATATTTGGGATGCAGAAATAGCAGGGAGGGACTGCAGTGTGGCACCTAATTATATTAAGAAGACATGGGGACTTAGGCAGCAGGCAAAGGAGGCTGAAAATGAAGAGGAATCCTCAACCCTCCTAAGCAATGTCTACGATGTTCTTGAACCTCACTGAGGCATGAAATCATACAGAAGTGCAAGCTTATATTTTTTGCCACTCATCATGTCTGTGATGAGCTGAATTGGGGGTTGGCAAGAAATGCTGAACTCAAGGAAACATGTCTTCCCTGTGTTGGTCAGGTTCACCATTATTGCACTTACCATCCTTACCACGGTATCTTTACAAAAGGCTGAGATGAGAAGAATGGCTGCCTCTCTGTCTCGACAACTTTGTAAACACTGCAATCTTCACAGTTAAAGACCCAGGTCCTGATTTACTACTGTATATTTCAGTTGAGCTATTCCAGTGTAAAACCGGAGTAGCTTATTCGTGAATGAGGGTTCACGTTATTATGTTCCTTTAGACAGAAAGTCAGTGAAACTAACAGGCTGTATTTAAATTTAAATGCTTAAAACAGTTTTCTCAAAGGCAAAATATTTGATTTCAGATAGCTTTGACTCATCAGGACTTCTACAGATCACATTTCCCTCTTTGTCAAATTATTAAATCAAGCTGTTTACAAAAGGTAGTTCCTTAGCAGACCACAAAACCTTAGTGAAAACCACAGGATGGATAGTTTGGGAATCTAAAAAACTATAATTTGCTGACAGGTTCTAAAGAAACCTTTGAAATAGCCCTATTAAATGAAAATGTAAACCTTGTATGAGCTCACAGCATTAATAATGTATATATTTTTCTTAAATATTTTCTGCTTCTCAAATGGCCTCTTTTAAATTATGTGGAATACAAGTAATGATTAATCCAGTAAACGTGTCATACAGAACTGACTGCATACACTACATATGACTGAGCTGGCTTCTTCCCCCTTTCTGTCATCGGTTTATTCCATACAACACCTAAGTCAAAACATACGGCAAACCCATGAAAGGTTGCAGCATAAAAGCTAAACAAATGCCCATTACCTATTACCTTAGGCTGGATTCTTCTGTTTCTTCTCATTGGTAAGCAACAGTTACTGAAGAAGCTGAAATCACAACAGGTTTCGCTGCTCCTTTCTCCCCCCATAATGACAAAGCTCCATGTTTTAAACCTTTCTCCATTAAATTTTTCACTTTTAAAATTTCAGTCCATCACCACTAATCCAAATCTGTCAGGAAGGTAATGCCTCTGCAAATAACAGTGTGTCCTGTCTGACCACTTTTATGGTCGAATTCCTGGTATCAAATTATACACTGCTTTACCACAGTTCCAGAGAATTGCCATGAAACAAGTAACATCAACCCCAACTATGAATATTAGCATATTTGCTGACGTGCTAGGAAATCTTTGAGGACTTAGTGCCAGCACAACATGTTCGTCAATTAGGCACAGCATGATTGCAAAACTGTCCCCTGAGGCACAAGGTGTATCATTTTCTTTCTATTTCTTTTGAAGAAGCATCCTTAGTGTTGGCTCTGCTGCTGTAAACACATACTCCTTAATTAAGATAATTTAAAGTTTGAAAGCATCTTTCAGTCCAAAGAATACCATGCATCCCACCCACTGCTTTATGCTTGTTCTTAGAACAGTCCTAAAATGACTGCTTTTCAGTAGTCCTGCTGCTGCTTCTGGTTTAATCCCCCCACAAATCCTGACAGCCTTTTACATATTCCATTAGCAAAACAAATGCTTGTGGAGTGAGAGAGAGCAGCTTTAGCTTGGAATAGTAAGGAAACTGACTTCAGTGATCTTTTATTCAAGACTATATAAAAAACTCCATAATCTGGTTTTGCATTCTGAGCAGGCTCCATCTGGAAACAGCTATCAGTCTCGGTTCATCAATTTCCTGTATTTTCCTTCTAAGAATGATAAAGCAAACCTATGTGTCAAATGGTAGGATGTGGGGAAAAAGGCTCTTTATGAAAATAAAGTATAAAAGCAAGACAAGCAACATGACCCTGCACCAGTATAGGCTGGGGACTGACTGACAAAACAGCAGCTCTGCAGAAAAGGATCTGGGGGTTACAGTGAATAAGCTGAATATGAGCTAACAGTGTGCCCTTGTTGCCAAGAAGGCTAACGGCATTCTGGGCTGTATTAGTAGGAGCACTGCCAACAGATCAAGAGAAGCGATTATCCCCCTGTATTCAGCACTGGTGTGGCCACATCTGGAGTACTCTGTCCAGTTCTGGATCATCCACTACAGAAAGGATGTGGACAAATGGGAGAGAGTCTAGTGGAGGGAAATGAAAATAGTGAGGGGACTGAGGCACATGACTTATGAGAGGGTGGGGAAACTGGGTTTATATAGTCTGGAGAAGACAAGACAAGACTGAGGAGGGATTTAATAGCAGTCTTTAAATAGCCTTTAAATACCTGAAGGGAGGTTCCAAAGAGAATGGAGCTAAACTGTTCTCAGTGGTGGTAGATGATAGAACAAGGAGCAATGGTCTCAAGGTGTAGTAAGAGAAGTTTAGGTTTCATATCAGGAAAACTTTCTCACTAGAAGGGTAGTAAAACACTGGAACAGGTTGCCCAGAGAGGTTGTGGACTCTCCATCCTTGGAGGATTTTAAGACCTGGCTAGACAAAGCTTTGACTGGGATGATCTAGTTGGGGCTGGTCCTGCTTTGAGCAGGGAATTGCCCTAGATCAGTGCTTCTCAAAGTGGTGGTCTGCGGACCGGTGCCGGTCCACGAGCCACTGGTCGTCGGTCCGCAGCGAGGTGCCAGGAAAGAAAGAAATATATTCGCCAGTCCGCAGCGAGTTGCCAGGAAAGAAAGAAATATATTTTCAGAAGCATTACATTGATATGTCATAGTGCCACAGTTCGTACGCTCCAACACTCCAGGTGACGTCATGTCGTGCAAGGTGAGGAAAGAGAAAGAAACAGCTGGTCATGCATTTGTGTAGTGCTGTTACACGCAGTTGCTGCCACCGGCTGAACCGGGCACTGGTCCCTGGCCCGCTGGAAAAAAAATTGCCGGTCTGCCACATCAGATATTTTGAGAAGCACTGCCCTAGATGACTCCTTGAGATCCCTTCCAACTCTAATCTTCTGATTCTATGATTTCAGGTTTATTTTAAAAAACAGATGTCAAAATCATATTGGTGTTCTTTGAGAGCATCTGAAATTAAAGCTGGGCAACATTTTAAATTCAAAGCATTTTAATTAAAAGAGCTGTAGTTTAAAAAAAAGCTTTGATGACTTTTCTTTCCTAAATTTTACCATAACATTTGTGGTGGAAAAATAACATGCCAATGTTTTGGTTTTTCTTCCTTTTTCAGCTTGAGTGGCAAAATGGAAAAAAAAGGAGGGAACAAGAAAGAAATTATGAACCGAGAGAGAAAAGTGAAACCAAAACCAAAAGTTGTTTTTCCATTAAAAAAATATCAAGACATCCCAAGAAAATATTGTTTCCCCCCAAAAATTTTCTACAAAGCCAATTAAGTATTTTTCAACCAGGTTGTGCAAGTAGACTCTCAAACCACAACAAACATGTTAGAGGATGAGAAAGTAGTTACTTTACATTGCAGGTGATTTATCAACAAAAAAACCCAAGTGCTGTAGCCTGTACTACAAGGTCCACAAACACCAATCTCTACCTTTGTGGGGTAGCACTTGGTCTTCTGTACTTCTGGGAGTAACAGTTGGTGTTTGAAGGACGGAAAAAGAGACAGGAAACTTGAAAAACTGGAAGCTTCATAAAAATTATCACCCTAATTGGAAACTGTCTGGATAAGTTTGTAAATATTTCATTGTGAAAATGTAACTGAAAAGAAGTGCTTGAGTTGATGGGGTGTTTAATATGATTTTTGCTTTTGAAACGTTTCACACTTGCAATGAGCTGAATTTGAGAGAATATTGAGTTTGTGGTGGTTGTAATTTTGGATCAAAACTTTGTCATGGTCCAGTTGGGATGGATGAAATTCTGAGATAGTCAGGAAGCACCAATTAAAGTGAGTTGCTGTTTAGAAAGTCTGAGTTAATGACAGCTAGGTAAGACAGGCAGAAAGTCATATGACTTCAGATGGAAGAAACTAGTACTTCCAAAAGCTGATCAGAAGAACACAAAATTACCTTTTGCCCATGTCTTATCAAAACTTTTGTAAACTTGGTATCAGAAATTGTTCTGCTTCTGTCAGTTACCATCCTAAATGTATGCCCAAGGGACAGTGGGGAATGTAATTATACAATTACCTGGTTAAAGTCCTCTTTGACCAGTTTGAGGCTGAGCTATGACAACTCTATAACCTTGACAGCATTGTCAATAAAAAAACCTCTTTGGGATATACATTCAGGTGTATAAAGTATGTTGACAGGATAGAAAGTTCATTAAGGTGAAACTCTATCACTATCTTAGATAGCAACCTTGGATGAATCTGTAACACCAATTTACTTTGACACCAGAAAATTACCCTTCCATGAAAGATTTGGAGCTCACAGCACAAAAATGGTTTAAAAGCTTTCAACAAACCTGTCAGGATGACTTTAGTTTTATAGCAGAAGCTTTCTTACTGAGGTGTTTCAAAAGTGTCCATCGCTTTATAAAGCTGACAAGTGGTTGTAAGGACTTTAATGTGTTTTTGAGTACTTCATGATAAATTGCCAGGTAAATCTGGATAGAATTAAAGCTTTTCTTAGATTGGTGGAAATAAATGGATTTTAAATGGGCAAGTAAAGGAGTCCATATGAAAATGAGTATACCACGCAACAAATTCCACTGTGACAGCGACCTACCATCTGTATATTGCTGAAGCTGAAGTCACTCCCAAAAGGATAATTGGAGTTGACAAGTGCTGAGCTTTTCTGAAACCCAGCAACTTCATTCAAGTACCTAAATGAAAAGTGAGCTCTGTTGAAAAGTGAGCTCTATATGAATTGCCAGAGGCCACACACCAAATTAGTGACTGAGCTGGGAGTAGAATTCAGTTTCTAACCCCCAGTTCACTCCTTTAGTCCAAGTATTTCCACATTTTTGAAGGGTTAACCACATTTTCACAAAAAATGAAGCCAATTGTGCCTGTGGCCCTAATAATCCTACCTATTTCTAGACCCCCTTGGCTAGTCATTCAGGCATACCATATTTTAGAAGATAATGTCTTAGACAGTACCCTGCTTTTGAGGACTTTTTAAAGAGAGATTCTCCCTCATGCATTAGACTTCATCTTGCAGATAATTTACTGTTTCATGTAATAAAAGTTCTTTGAAGGCACTGTTCGTGATGGAGCCACACTTGTCTACCTTTTTTCTCAAAGTGAGTTGGTTCATTTGCCCATAATGAGAGTTCAAAACAAAATTAAACTAATGGCTTATTAGTAGTGTACATAAAATACTTCAAGCACACACTTTGACAATGTAGCACATTATATCTAAGTGCTGTTATGATTCCATATACAGATAATTCACGTTTTCCCATGAGGAACACCAGTGTCCTCAGGACTGCAACATTAAGGTTTCAGATACTGCATAGATGCAGTATTAGATTTTTTTATACATATGTTTAAAATATTTGCTTTGTTTCCATTAGATTTTTAAGAGTATTGGAAATTTCTATTGTGCTATAGCTTCTATTAAAAGTTTGGTTTTAAAATATTTAAAATTCAGAAAGCCTTTGCTGATGTCCCTTTAAACTGCACAAAATCCAGATTCCACTCTAAACCGTACCTGTGTAAATTTGGAGCAACTCTACTGAAACTAAACGAGTTTCTCCAGATTTACATCAATGTACCTTGAGTAAAGAACTGACCCACTTATCTCCCATTTTCTCTAACCTTCTCCAGCAGGTCCTTCGGGTTTGTCTGCAGCAAATTTTCATTTATGATTTTGTGTTTTGGGTAACTGTCATCATGGATATTAGACTCTCCATGTTTCCATTTTTGGTCTACAGGTGTCTGGTCAGGAAAGGACTGTAATGATAACAGACCACAATATGTTGTATTTCTGCCTCTGTGCATGTATTTCCCAGTTACTAAGTAGTTCTTTAAAAACTTATTCTTTTACAATAAAAGCAGTCTGTGCTTCTTGATTAAGTATAAGTGAACAAAAGTATAGTTCTTATGGCTGGCCATACATTCCACTATTTTGAATACCTGTTGTAGTTGCATTGCTTACCAAAGGTACTTGAATACTGTTTGTCTCACTTGATTGGTTTTGGTCTGTTTTTCTTTTG